CTAACCGATGGTTATGTTGGTTTGCGCGGGCACGCTTTGAATTCCTAGAAATATTCGACAGAAGTCATTGTTTACAAAAGCTGTTAGGCCCTAATTCCAGCTCTATCTAGCAGTTAAGAGACGTTTCCGCTTAAATTGTTTTGGTTCGCGATTGTTATGAACAAAAAATATACAATAGAACTATTTGTTTAATACAATTGAAGCTAATATAAATGGGACTTTTACAATTTAACCTGTTTCGCATTAAAATAACCTGCACACTTAGTTTTTTCTACCTAGCTCAGCTGTGCAAATCTCGGCAAAAAAAGTTTCACCGAGATCTCAGCAAAAGTGACATTTGATTGTTGAGTGTCGGATAATGCTTTGCTGAATCTCAGTAAACAAATGATATGTTTGCTGAGATCTCAGCAAAACTTTTTTTGCCGAGATTTGCACAGTCGAGCTCGGTAGAAAAAACTTAGCGTGTGTACTATTACCAACAATCAACACGAAACATGGCTCACTACTTGACTAGCCTATTGATCCCAAGCAAATCGATTTACGTACCCCATTCTAGACGAAATTCTACACACTTAGATTTTTTTGCCGAGATGGGCACCACCGAGCAGCTCGGCATTTTATTTTGCTGGAAATTCAGCAAAAAATATGTTTGTTAACTGAGATTTCGGCAAAATTCCCGTTTGTTAGCTGAATGTCGGCAAGTTTTTCACTGATCCAGCAAAATAAAATGCCGAGCTGCTAGGTGGTGCCCATCTCGGCGAAAAAATCTAAGTGTGTAGTACTACACTATGTTTGTTTTGATTCGCTATGAAAGTTTGACAGATAAAATGAGGGGCTCGTGGATTTTCCTATGTTTTAAGGGGTGCATCGATTAGCTTGGGACCGAAGATAGTACCAGAGCTGAGCCAAAAACTTGAGCACTTTTCTTCGGGACCTACTAATCTTAGAGTTACCTGTATGCTATTACCATAGAGGTAACTCTAAGACTAGAAGGTCCCGAAATAACGTGCTCAACTTTTTGGCTCAGCTCTGGTACTCTCTTCGGTCCCAAGTTAATCGATTCACCCCTCGAAACAGAGGAAAAACCAATAACCCCTTATTTTATCTGTCAAACTTTCATACCGAATCAAAACAAACATTGCGTAGTACTAGAATTTCGACTAGAATGGGGTACATTAATCGTTTGCTTGGGACCAATAGGCAAGTCAAGTAGTGAGCAAATTTAAAATCGCTAGTTTCTTATTGATTGTTGCTAATACTCCACTCATTTGCCGGCAATCGCTGTTCTTTCTTTCCACTGACGTTATTCGATTGAGCAAATATTTTTGAATAATACATCTGAACACACCAATTTGATAAAATGAGAAACACCGAAGTTATTTCAGTTTGAAGCTTTACTTCAATTGCTATGAGTGAGGGGCGGGGTATAGTAAGCACTCCCCCCCCCCTTCCCTGCTCTAACTAGGCGTATGAGATGGATCAATTGTTTTTGAATAATTAATTTGAACATACGTCCACGTAAACAGTACAACTGAACTGTCATCCGATTGAGGTTAACCCCGGCGGTGCAAAACCTTATTGAGGCATTTTTCCATAGAAAATGTACACTGAGTCGTTCAAAACAAGGATTTGGTATCATCACGGAAGAATAAACGTGCTGACTGAGTGCTCTGCTGTCAGTATCTCGTTTACTTTGCAATCATTCAGACTCTCCCGAGGCAGTGAGGCAGTGGCATATTCATAAAAAAATAACTTATTGAACTTTTTGCGCACTGGTTTGTTGTGTGTTTATGATTAATTGCAAATATAATCAACAAACTATCGCCATGTATCCAAAACGACATTTAACTTATTTTTGCAACATAGTTGTATAGCGGTTATTTGATAGTCGGGAAAAAGTGAAATAAGTGCTTTTCAAGTTTCATAATCAGCATTATAGCAGAAGAACAGCTATTTGGATCGAGGGGGACGACTCTATCTACGATGCAGAAAAGATTGTGTTTTGCTGTGGCTAGCTGCGCACACGCTGAGTAGATAGAAAGAAGATTGATGACGATTCTGAAGATCTCCTGCAAAAAGATGATGAGCGATGCAAGTAGATGCGACAAATGAAAGAAGATTTTTCGAAGATTGATTCGCTAGTGTGAGATTTGTTGAGCATCCAAACTTGAGATTTAGATGTGTCGCCCCCCTCGATTTGGATGCATCATCGAATATAAGATAAGAGCATGCCTGAAATCCAAAATTAGTTTCTCCGATATGTTTATATAGAGGTTGAATAAAAGTATAAACACAACATGACGCTGTGTTTGAATATTTATCACTGTACTATGACAAGTTTTACAACGATGGCTTCAAAAAGCACTGCAGTTTATTAAAAGCTGAACTAACAAAAAATGGCCGAATTGATGCTTCTTCAACGTTGCACAGTTGAACTAATGTTTAACTAACATCAATTTAATGTTGTTGTTGAATAGATTCTCCAGATTTGTGTGACCAAAGCTTGAATAGAAGTAGCAATAAAAAATATTACACTTTTGTTCAGTACACAGTTTAATAAAGTTATCATATAGACATTTCTTCAATTAGCAATTGTTACTCAAAAGCTGTTTGTCCGGTCGTTCTTAAATGATCTTAACCATATTCAAATTTTGTACGAAATGCGCCATTGATAAGGGAAATTAAATGGATAATACTTATCCTTCTTTCTTTCATTATACAGATAAATCTTCTTTAACTGAATCATATTCAAGTTAAAATACATTTCTGTTACTGTTTTTCATTTAGCGAAAGTGTAGTGTACGCATTACACTCACTTGCACGCACCTCGGCACATCAACCAAGTTGCTCAATTATGTCCATTTCTCAACGTACCGCTCGACGTGCCGCTGTCAATTTACCAGTTCTGCCAACACAACAAAGTTGAAAATTCAACATGTCTTCACTCCTCAAAGCAGCGTTGCCAGTATTCCAGATTTATCTGGATTTTCCAGATTTTTAGTCGTCTTGCCAGATACACAGACAGACCACGTATATTTCCAGATTTTTTAAATATGTTCCAGATTTTCCCAGATTTTTTAAACATGTTGCTTTTAAAAATATCACTGCAATTTATTTACCATCTAATCAAAAACTAAAAAGCCAAACTTGTTACTTTAATCATTAAAGTTCATCAACGTTGGACATTATTGGAATTTTAAGTTAATTCTGAAATTAATTCACAGTGAAGTGTAGGATGAATTCCTTGTGAAATAAAACGAGACTATCAAGCTAATTCTGAGTAGAGTTCCATGCATCTTTGTGGGCTTCGTGGTCGTGTGATTTCATCCGTCGTTCAGGCGTTTTGTGAGTGCCACAAAGTGAGGGTTCGATTCCCGCTCCAGCCGGTGCAAATTTTGACTACCTGAAAATGCCCTTACTGGTCTACTGAGTATGATGTGTTGTCCGTTGCCTACTGTTAAATATTCAGTTTTTGTAACCTCTGGTTGAAGACGGTGTCAATTGTCTTGTCAACTCTGATGACAATTGCATGGAGTCTTTGTGAATAAAGGAAATATCCAGAAGAGACATTATAGAAAATTCTTATGGTGAAACTTAAAGAGTATGCTGATACGAATCGTGAGAATAATTTCAATGGAATTCTGTTCAATGTTTCTATGGAGACTCATTTTAATAAAATTAAAAAAAAAAAAGTTAAACGCAATTTCTGGGAAACTTTCAAAACCATTTTGGCAAAGAACTTGAGTAATTAGGAAATACTGAAGAGGACTTCAAAACAATTCTAACCTTACCTACAAATCAGTTCAAAGGGAATGATCGGATGAGTCTGAGAAGAGCGTGACGGTCATTCTGAATAGTGTACCAAGGAAATTATGAAGAATATTTTAAGAATTTATAATAGATTATAAGAAGTAATGCTAGGAACTCTTAGAATGTTACTGGAAAAGTTTGGATTTTATCAAGGTTATTTTAGGGTAATATAGAAAAGAAGTATGATGGAATTTAAGAATGATTCAAATGGAATTAAAAAAAGGGCGAACATATCCTGTGGAGAGTTCCAAGTACCCGTTGTTTATGTAAACTGTGTGTGAGTACCACGATGTTAGACTTTGATTCCCAGCCAGGTGAATTCTGCTTCAAAACCAAATTGAATACTGATCTACTATGTCCAGAATTGAATTGTTAATCTGATCAACCTCAGGGTAATATTAGAGTTACTTAGAACTAATAAAATCTTTAAATTTTGGTACTGCGTCAAATAGTAAAGACTACATCGATCATTAGTTATAAAAAAAATCCATCCCATAAAATTTGCTTGATTCTTTGCTTCTCATTCCTTTTAAAAAAAGTTATAGTTTAAAAAACAATTTCAAATACATTTTCTGCGGGTAAAATACATTAAATCAAATTGTTGAAATGCTGCATCCTGGATATTTAAACTTTTTGGGCACACTGAGTCAATACTTTTCAGCTTTTGGATGAATTCAGCAATGCTAACAAGTTATTTGCTTTATATATTTTGTTTAAACATGCAATTCATAATCATTCTAGTACTTTAAATAAATTCAAGATTATCATACTGACCGATTTTTACGGGAGATTGACACATCACTTTGGGTTCAATAACATTATGATAAAAACTGGATTTTTTTTTTAAGGATTCCAGATTTTTCCAGATTTTATATTTTAACTGGTCCAGATTTTTCTGAAAATGACCTGGCAACGCTGCCTCAAAGCAAAATGAACCATTTGTTTACATTCTGTTCCATCCGATGATACGTTCGACTTTCTGCTATTCGTGCTCGGACGTTCATCCGACTGTTGCACTTCCCGTGCTTCTTGTTCTTCGTGTACGCTTCGCTTCGAATGTCTGATTATCCGTCCGTTCGTGGCTGGTGAACACGAGATGCACTTCCACATGATAGTATTATTTTCCAGCCAGGCAGCCGTGTGGGGAGCAGATCCACGGCATGCGAACAAGAAGCGATGGTTCAGTTGCGTTCAACTCGTGCATCAGTTCAGTTCGTTACGTGCTTCGGTCGGCTTATTGTAGGAGGTGTGTTGATAGTTGTTGATGTCATCAAGTGGAAGCGAGGTCCAGAAGATATACCACATAGCAAAGGTCATTCTGTTGTGTGCTATCAATTCCGGGGAGATCTCGTGGTGTGATCCGATCGTGCGATCGTGACTCAAGGGACGATCCCAAGAGACCACTGGTTTATGAAGCGCGTGTGTGTATTTTTTCGACACATTCCAATACCTACGTTGGTGCGTGTGAAGAGAAGAACATCCAAAGATGAATAAAAGTGCATTTTTGTGCTAAAGAAAATTCAAAAGAAGTGAATCTCGAAGAGATCGAAGAGTAAAGGAAAGAAGAAAGTTTCAACTCGGGTGATGTTCCCATTTGCAGTGCACGTTGATTTGACGAATTTAAACAATTTTCGACGCTGGTAGCGCAAAGTGGGGCTGATTGACCCCCCCCCCCCCCCCGCTTCTAATGGTGTTGTGAGAATTTTAAATTTGTACATTCCTGGCAGTCAGTGGTTCACAGTATCGGAAGAGATCGATCATCATAATTGATTGATAGCTACTATTCATGCTGGCCTAGTGGTTGATGAAGCGGCGAGTGAGAATATGTACACATAAAATATACAGAACTGGCATTTGCGTGCTGATGATCTGACGAAATATTAGTTTCGACTAGCGGTTGTGAATGCGTGAAAGAATCTGGACAGTGAGCGTGCCGGATCAAATGCAACTTGATACATTGCAACGAAAGAACATTGACGAAAGCAACTTGATTTTGTCGGCTATTTTGGTGTCTTCATGCTGTCGAAAGGTGAGTGTTTATATTGAGTTAAACTAATTAGTGGGTTTCGGTATGCAGTGCAAAAGTAAATGTTCAATCCCCATATCCTTTGAACTGTTTTTAGTTTTGAATAAAGAACTAAACCCAGAGCTGTCGTCGAGCACGGTCGTCGACTAACTAGCTGTTTTTATGGAAAATAAAATTTTCATTTTTTTTTTCCCTAATAGTGGTACCCTTATATTATGATATAGCGACTAACTTCCTCACATTTCACGACGCAGCACTGACTAAATAGTGAAATAAATAGAATCCTAGGTACTTTATTACAAAAATGTCGATTTCATTTTCAGTGTGTCGAAGAGTTAATAGTAAATTGCCTTCACATTATGCTTTGAATTCTCCTGTAAATTCCATACGAACTGTCCTCAAAATTATCTAAGTATTCTTCCGTAAACCGCTTAGAACTCTTCTCAACGTTTTTTTTAGAAAGCTCCCTAAAAGTTTCTGATACTCTCCCTTGGAAGCTTCATAGTAATTCCTTTTAAATTATCCCCATAATTAGAATTCTCTCTAAACATTCCGTTTGAAATCTTGTTCTAGGAAATATAAGATTCTATTACAGAGCTGTATAAAAGGTGTACAGATTCTGTAAGGTGGTCATCGGTAGGTGTCTTAAATAATTTAAGTCAACTAATGTTTCGGACAAAGTTAATATCCTCAAGTGCACTACTGCTAGAAAATCATCTCGTGGAGTAGCTTCAGGGAAACTCCGAGAGCTTAAAAAAGTCCAGACTTTCAGGAAAGATTGAATGTCACTAAGCGGAAGCTCCGATAAACTAGAAAACCTTCAAGAATCCTTCAAGAACCCTTCAGAAGATCCATTAATTTTAGGAAGTTCAGAGATATACGAATAATTTAAGAAAACGAAATGAAATATTTCGGGAACTTCAAGGATCTTTTAAGGTTTTTTGAAAGTGCTAATTGTTTCGGGGTAGTACCAAGAACTTCCATAGAATTAAGAGAACTTCAGGAATGCTTTGAAAGCAAAAGGACAGATCAGAGAACCTAAGGGCAGTTCAACTAATTTCAATGCAATTGTAGCAATGCTTAAGAGGTTCCAAGCAACTAAGGGAATTTCCGAAACTTTATCAAATCACCAAGACCATCATTTAAATTTCGGAAACGTAAGGGAAGTTACATAAGCATCAGGAAAATGTGTCAACATTTAAATGGAGTTCTATAATGTTCATAACCGTCTAAAGACCTGAAAAAAAAATGCTGGAACTTCAGCGAAGATCAGAGCAGTCTCATAATGTTCAAGGAAATAACGAGAACTTTTGAAGTGTTCAGAAAACTTCAAGGACGTCTAGAGACCGTCAGAGAAGTATATAGATTTTTAGGTATTTCCATTAACTTAAGTCTAAAGAAATTCAGGAAGAATGATATATTTTTGGCGAAGTTTACGTTCCGGAATTTGCCTTGAACTTCTTTCAAAGTTTTTGAAACTATCTTGATGCTCACGGTACTTATGAACTTCCCTGAACTTCTTTGGACTCACTCATTTTAAATAGGGATGTTAAAGACTTTACATATTTTGATTTAAAATAAAATACGAACAGTAGCAAAATTACCAGACGAAACTTCTAATTGTAACAGCCCGAAAGATTTCTGAGCTTCCCTTAAGTTTTTATGTATCTTTTTTAAACTTCCCACAATTTTTTCCTGAAGTTTTTAAAAGTTCATTGAAGCTCACGGAACTTCGCTAAAAATATCTCATTCTCCATGAACTTCTTTGGACTTCTCTGAGGTTTTAAAGTTTTTTTTTCTGATGTTCCGGAAATATTCGTCATTTTCATTAAATTCCTTTAAGTATTCGTGAAATCATCGGAACATCCCTGAACTCCTTGAAAGTTCCTTAAGCGATTTTTTACAAAAACTGCTTCAGTTTCAATTGATCTGAAGGTTTAAAATGGATGCAGGTTGTATGGATGTTTCTACTTTTTCAAAGTAATTGAGAAACTTAGCCCAAAACGTATACTTATTCTGGTAATCATCCAGGAGTTTCTGCTTGTGTGATAGACTGAAATCAGTTTCAATCATGTTGGATTTAATTTAACGAAATTAAAACAAGGTAAACAAAATTTAAGGGCAAAAAGATTATGCAACGTAGTGAAGGTCAGCGAAAACGCCAAGGATGACAAGCCAACGGTTTCCTTCCTTCATGAAGTTCTCCAAATTTTCAAGGAATTCTCAGAAGATCTTTTACGTTTCTACATTTTTTTTCTGATATTCATGGAATTTCTCTGAATACCCCAAAGTTTGGAACATTTATGAAAATCTCGAAATATTCTCTGCACTTCTTGAAAGTTCCAGCAATTCATTAACGGAGCAACTCGAAATACTCGGAACATCCCTGAAAATAATGAAACTATTCCCTGAAAATCAGGTCTTCCCTGAAATTCCCTGAACTTCTTATAGTTTAGCTTTTGGTGCTACCCTGGATTTATAGAATGTAACATTTACAGACCTTTGTACTATTTAGTATCTTATCCCAAAAACTACAGATCTTTGAATATCCCGGAAAGTCTCGGAAGTTATCGGGAATGGTCTTAAGATCTCCGCGCTTCCCTAGAGATCACTAGGCCTGCAGACTATTCAGATGATTTCTTGGCATCTCTGAAGTTTTCTGGATATCCCTGAAATAATAGGACTTATCTAAAGGTACTGCAGTCGCCTGCACAGAAAAAAATCTGATTTTTAACTATCGCGTAACATCTCCCTTCGTTTAATGTTGAGCTATACTTGGCATAAACAGCGAAATCGTTTACAAGGTTGCATACAATATTGATAATTTATGCGATATTGCGCTTTAAATTACACGAAATATCGCGTAAATTTATGCCAAATCTAGCGTTAATTTTATGTGCGCTATATCTCGCAGAAATTTACATGAATTTTTCGAACGGTGTGGAGGTTGAAGCTAATATTCCCAAATGTTTACAGAAGCTCACCTATTATCCCGCACTCGCTTCTCGAAACTTCCTCCAAATCCTCGGTATTTCCTTTAATTCTTCGGAGCTTCTTCCTAGAGTTTATGTGAACCTTCTTGAAGTTCTTTAATCTTTCCTAAAGTTCTTGCTTCTATTCTGATGATGCTCCTGGAATTGCACTGAAACGTTTTTCGAATATCCGTGAATTTCTCGCAACTTCAGAGAAGTTTCCGAAACTTTTCGTAAGTTCCCAGATGTTCTCAGTAATTATTGAAACTTCTAGGTTCCCACTGCTTTCCGGAATACAATGGAACTGGCCTTTGGTTTTCGAAATTTGTCTGGAGTTCCCTAAAATTCTCGCGATTTTCCTGATAATCATGGACTGAGTTCTCATAACTGCTCGAAGCTACGCAACTGCATTTCAGATCTTACTACTCAGCTTAAGTTTTGGCAACTTTTATTCAGTTTCTGGCATTTTACTGAAGTTAATGAGGTTGCCCTGGAAGCTCTTTGATCTTTACTGAATTGCAAGAAATTTTCGACGAGAAATTCAGAGAACTTCCAACTAGAAGTTTGAGGAATTTCCGAGGAGTAGTTCCGAGACTTATGATAAAAAATTCCGAATTTAGAGAAATTCCGATTATAAATTCAGGTATCTTCCGACAAGAAGTTCAAAGGTCTTCCAAGGAAAAGTTCTGAGAGCTTCCGAAGAGAATCTCAGAGAACTTACGAGGAGACGATCAGAGAACTTCCATGGAAAAATTCACACAACTTCCGACGAGTTCAGAATCAAGCAGAGGTTCAGTGAACTCCCAACGAAAAGTTCGAAGAAATTTCGTCGAGAAAATCAGAACTACCGACGAGAAGGTTCCCACTGCTTTTCGGAATACAATGGAACTGCCATTTGGTTTTCGAAATGTGCCTGGAGTTTCCTGAAATTCCCGCAATTTTCCTGATAATCATGGACTGAGTTCTCATAGCTGCTCGATGCTACGCAACTGAATTTAAGATCTTTCAACTCAGCTTAAGTTTTGGCAACTTTTGTTCAGTTTCTGGCATTTTACTGAAGTTAATGAGCCCTGGAAGCTCTTTGATCTGTACTGAATTTCAAGAAATTTCCCTGAAATCTATGGAACTGCTCAAAAGCTTTCGGAACGAATTTGAAAGGGATTATGAATATGAAGCTAGAACATTGCAAACGTGATACAGGTAGCTTCAGAGAGCACTTTAGGTACACTGACCCCACAATTGTAGATGATCAACGAAAAACACCATCGACTGGAAATGCTTTCGCAACGTGGGGCTTTAGGTAGTGATGAAAACGTCGCTAGAACTATTCCACAGCCGCAGTCAGTTTATGAGCAAAAAGAGGGACACACATTTTTGCCTGTAGACTTGGAGACATACTTCAAGTGTCCGCGTACATCGTACGGGTTAGGCAAAGATGTGCGTCTATCTTTAAAAACTGTCGCATTAATGGCCCTTCGCTCATTTTCAACTTCTATTCAATTTTCATACTGCCATACTCTAACGGAACTATCCACCTACTCTCTTCTAAAAGATCATTCTCTAGCTAATAAATTATCACACTAAGGCTTCATGTTAGCATTTCCAACCAACTCTGAAAATCGCTAACTTCGCGTATGAAGTAACATAAAAACACTTTGCCTGCAAAGTTGTCGGAATTTTCGAGAAATTGAATTCTCGAAAGGGAGAAGTTCAGATAATGTCCAATAAGAAATTCAGAGAAGTTCAGAGAAGTTCAGAGAACATCAGACCACAAGCTCAAAGTACTTCCGAGAACAACTTCAGCGAACTTTCGACGTGAAATTCAGGGAACTTCCAAGGAGAAGTTTAGAGAACGTCCGAGAAACAACCAGAGATTTTCCGAGAAGAAACTCTGAGAACTTTCGACGTGAAGGTCAGAAACATTACATTGAGAAGATTTGAGAGGTTCGAAAGTCGTTCTTGTTCAGAGAACTACTTTCGAACCTCTCCTTGAAAATTATTTGAACTTTTCTTCGCAAGTTCTCTGAACTT